ATTAAGTTTGGTAATCATAAAAAGTAGTATGGTTGATAAACGTCCAACTATGATGAAAAATTTACCAATCATCATCTAAAACATTTAAAAACAAATTCAAGCATGTAAAATTTAGTGTGTTCTATTATTAATCCTAAAAAGAAAAAGCACAATTGACTCAACTTATTACAAAATCACAGATATTGTTCTGTCGTCTAATGCTAGTGAACCTGATATGCCCAAACAGTAAAGTTAAAATACACTAATAAAACATTGCTTCTTGTAATCAGTTTTATTGTTAACAATATCTTCAGATAAAAGGCATTTTTAGGATTTCTGCCTATTATTTGTGCTATTGGTTTGAATGTGTGGCTGATATCATGCAATTGCTATCAATCTTAACTATTGCTTTAAACATTAAGCATTATTTGCTCACAACAGACTAGTTTAAATTGCTGGCATTATGATCTTTTTTAAAGTTGGTAATAGAGAGCAATACTGGATGAATTACAAATTAATTATAATAACCACAACAATTATAATTAATAAATTTTCAAGTTATATATTTTCTGTTGTTTTAACATGTCCTCCTAATATAATTTTATTACTTTAGATATGTTTCAAAGTCATTAAATAAGAAGTATTTATCAATATATAAATTCTAATTTGTAGGCATTTAGTTTCTAAAAATGTGAAAAATTGTGGCTTTATTTTAAGATAATTTTGAAAAATTTTCATACAATTTTTTGATTAAAAAATACAGAAAATATAGTTCCAAAAAACTAATATAAATAGAAAAATATAATTTAACAATAAAACTGAGAACAGTAATTTTAGATGATGAAATAACTGATTGAGTGAGTATTAATTTCATATTTTCTTATCACTAACAATAATAATATTGATAGAAGTAATTTTCACAAAGGAAAAAACTAAAGTATTTCTAATGTTTTTTAATTCTTAATTGAAATTTTAGGTTTACAAAAAGTTGCCCTTGTTTATTCCTGTAATACAAATAAATATTTTCTTTCATGATAACATCCTCTAAAACCAGCAATGAAATAGGAAAAACTCAAAAATAATGATATTTGTATTTATATATACTTCTAAACTTTCTTATCTGTACTTAAGACATTGTTTGAATTTTAAATTGAGGATGATAAACATCAAAAACATTATTTATTATCCTTAATTTTAACTCACAATGTTTGCCGAATGGAGAAAAATTTTTCCTTTAGTTTCAATAATTTAAACAAATAAAACATCAAATACTATAATGTATAAAAATTTTAATTTTAAAATATGCATATTATCATCATCATCTGTAATAAATAAAAATAAATGTTAAAATATTTACTTAAAGTAAAATTAAAATAACATAAATTATCTTATCTGTTCTAACATTATATTTACTACAGACTTTACTATACATACTGTATTTATAATTTCAAAATTTATTTATTTTTTAAATTAAAATTTTAAGAATAATTTCATTCTTTTACAATTTAGGAATTTTTGCTATATATATGTTCTGTTCTTAATTTCAAATGTATTATATAAACAATTAATGGAATTATATAGAATATATAACTTGCAACAACTCAGATATCAAAATATTAGTACATCATCAATATTTGAAATCTTATCTTTAATCTGAGCAAGCACTTTCATCTAAAAATTAGACTTTTATAGAACTTAAAAAAGTTATAAACAACAAGTAAAACAGCATTTTTCTCATTGTTTATAACTTTAAATACATTTTATAAGTTCATAACACTAGTTTTACTAATTCAGAACTTATTAAGCTTTAAAAAATTTAATTTTAGACAAAATACTCGCTGAGATTAAAGTTAAGTCACATAGCATTAAAACTGTACTAATTTAATTATAGTTTACATTTCTACAATATTCTGGTACTTAGTTTTTGAAGATCATCAGATGTTTCACTGTAAACATCTTTTATTTAATTGTATATTATCTAAACTAAGCAATTATTTATAATAAAGCTGATGAATAAATAAATGTAAGTTTTGTGAACTTCTACTATAAAAAAAAAAAATGCTTAACCTTAATAAAAAGAAACTTCTATATTCAATAAAAAGTTTTAATATACAAATACAGTAGAAACTCAAGTATCTAAACTTTATGGACTATAGATCTTCTGAATAAACAAAATTTCAGATACTCCAGAAATTAGTTTTGTTTGTGTTTTGAATATAACAAGTACTATGCATTTAAAGTTTCATGAACAGTAAATACTGTAATGCAATTACCATATTTAAAGGTAAATTAATTTACTCAAAATCTAATGTAATGTTATGTATCTGCCCTAGTTTTGCAACACTATAATTCACAGATAACAGTGATTTTCAGTTACATAGTGTGTTAGGTCTGTGTATTATTCTCTGTAGTATGTACTGTACAGTACAGTACATTGTTACAAATTCTGGTTATTTTTGAAAACCATTTCACATAATTACATTTTGAATAATCAGTTTCCACTATGTGTGTATGATAATTTTTCATTTGTGTGTAAAATTTGATTGTAACATTTAATTTGTAGTTTGTTACTGTGTTATTTTTGTTCTAAACAAACTAATTGATTTTGAAATACTTTGAAAAACTTATATATTAATGTTTTACAGTCACCTTGTTTTAATAGTTTATAATAAAGTGTTATATAAAATATTAAAGCAGAGATTTTCCAAGCAGGAATTTCCAGGGATTTCCTTTTGCTCATAAGTTCCTTTCCAAGATTACATTTTGTTCACTGATCACTATTTTATAGTGTTACAAAACAAGAATAAATTACAAATAGTAAATAAAAACTTAAATAAGAATTGATATAATTTTTTTTATTAAACACACATCAGAATTCAAAAGCATGGGCTTTAGTAAAATTTAAAGCCATATCAATTATTATATTAAATACAAACAAAACCTTTTATCCAGTAACAGAACTCGAACGGAAATTCCAAACATTTTCAGTCTTCACCAAGGCCTGCCTCAGGTTTTTAACAAAACTGAATTCCAAAGTCAAATGTTCAAAAATAATTTCTTAAAATTTAAAATATCTCATTATGTAAGGCAAATTTATATGGTTGATTGACTAAAACCATAAAAGTGCAATCATGTGATCCACACAAATTTTTTAAGCCATATGTATTGTATAAGATGAAATTATTATGGGTTAACTTTGCTCAGCTCTTTCATACATGTACTTTCATGCATGCACCACTATATTGCAGTCCTTAAAGTTAATACAATTGCCGGTTAGGCTGGTTTTATATATTTCCAATGTCTCCAGGCTACAAACAGGATCTGTTTGAAATGCCTGCCAGATTAACTTGGTGTTCTGGAGGTCCGCATTTACTTCTGGATGGGTGACATACATGGACAAGGCTATGGTATGCCTGTTCAAAAGGTCGTATTGATGTTCACGTACCCTTTTACATATTGATCGTTTGGTTGAGCCAACATAGACTAAGTCTCTTTGAAATTTATCGTCTCTTAGAGGTATAGAGTACACTCCTGAGGCTCTGGTTTGATCCATTTTATCTTTTGCGTTGCATTGTGTAGCAACTTGTATATTGTACCAGATCTCTTGTATGTAATTTCTATACCATTCTGGCCTGCAATATCTTTGTATAAGGATTTCAAATGTTGATTAACTGTACTGTGGTGGTCTACAGCCTGTGATGCATTGTTCGTTTCTGTTAGAAGCAGACTGGGTGTTGGGACCATTGTGTGTGACAAATTGGTTGGCTTAGGTGCGACTAAACCACGTACTAGGTCTCTTCTGTAGCCATGTTCTACTGCTATATCTTTGATATGTTGTAGCTCCAGCATAGTGTCATGTCTATTGGTGTGATGAGTGTATGCCCATCTGGTTAGGACACGGAAAGAGGCAATTTTATACAAGCAGGGATTAGATGAGTTTGCTGGGATGAATAGTGATACATAGCCCAGTTTGTAATAAATGCTCATTTCCACCCGGCTCCTATTGAGATGAATGCTGACATCTCAGAAATGAGCGCTACAGTTACTTATTTGATTCAGCTTAAGGGTAAGACCGTATGGGTCGTTGTTCATAGATCTTAAAAACTCATCAACATTTGACTTCGTCTTCCATAGGTAAATATGTCATCCATGTACCTTTTGTAAACCATAATGTTCTCTAAGAACAGAGGTAATATTCTAACTGTTGGACCACTAACTTGCATAGGTCCTGATAGGGGACTGCCCTTGGGCACATCCAATTTTTGTAGGTATGTGCTGTTGTTAAACTGGAAGAACAAAGTATAGCACAAGAGGTGTGCCAGCACCAAAATTTGCTTGTAATGCAGATGGGCCCCATTCTTGCTTAGTAAAAGGTCCCTAAGTGCACGGAAGAACAGCTACATCTGTACTAATGGGTATAGGAATACAAAATCAAAGACAGTGATGTGGACTTTGTCACCTACCTCTACCTGCCACAAGATATCAATCAAATCGGTGGATTTATTGAGAGTAAACATATTACCTTTCAAACAGTCCAAGGTGTTGTGTACAGCATTCTTGAGTAGCCTAGTTGGGGATCTAGTTTTATCCAGAACTGGTCTAAATGAAGGTGTTGGCTTATGCGTTTTTGCAAAAGCTAATAACCTTGGAGTGTCAAGCGAGGCAACCACCGCCCTGTTTAATTTCCAATTCTTGGCCAGGGAAGTGTGTGTGAATTGTGAGATCTGAATTTGTAACTTGTTTACATAGTTCCCATTGATGGATTTGCAGTTGGTGTTTGTAATGTACTAACTTATGGATACAAATTCACTGAGTTCAGCGTTAATAAAGTTTCTTTAGTATTAACACAAGCACTTTCGATGAATGTATAATCGTCGTCTTCAGGTGAAAAGAATAAAATTTTAACAAGACAAACGTGCAGGATATTTCAAAGGAACAAAATATTTAAAATTCAAACAGGCGTCCAGAAATTCCGTTAAGAACGTGCAAATAATTTTTTGATATGTTTGAATTTTTATATTTTACGATGTTAGCGGCGCATGCATGAAAACGCTACCGCGTTGGCGATACGATGTTAGGCGCGTTTCGCTTTTTAGGCGCCGATATAAGGCAATCCACACCCCGGGTAGATCGAGGGTGGGAACATTGCACGCTTCTGAAGTAGCCGTGAGAAGCGCTTCCCAGATAAACACAAGCCTTCGATTGTTGCAGCATTTAATTATTTCCGTTCTGGGCCATAATGGGTTGTAGCCTTGCTCGAGAACTTTTCTAGCGAGCTCAGTAGAACATCTTCCTTTGGCTACATCATCCTGATGCTCAGCAAGGCGGGAGGCGAGCATTCTTGTTGTTGCTCCTATGTATCTTGTAATATTTCCCGTTACCGGATTTTCTAGGTATATCTTGTAAACCCCTGACTTTTCTAAAGTGGTTAGCCTGTCCCGGTCGTTGCAGATACATCTGCGCAGGCTTGGTAGGGGAGTTATGGGTAGTATGAAATTATGTCGTCGAAATATGCGGCTGATGCGTATAGAAATTGGTCCAAGATACGGCAATGATGATTGGATCACGGATGCTTTTTCCTTTCTGTACAGTGTGGTACATGGGTATAGGGCCTGTTTTACTTTACGGAGCACATGCTCGTATTTGCCATATGTAAATCCTGCAAGAGATACCGCTACTCTGATGATGTCTAATTCCATTTTTGTTGCTAGCTGTGTCGATGGAAGCAACAATGCTCTTCTAACCAGTGCAGCAATGGCGGCATTGATATACCGCGACGGTTGGAAAGCATCTACCGGGATAATATACGGTAACGTATCAGATTTGTAGTGAACAGCAAATTGCGGCCCCTCAATCGACTTTTGTATACACAGATCCAGGAACGCTATTGAATCCTCATGCTCCCTCTCCCAAGTGAACTTGATTGTAGGGTATATGCTTGAAAGATGTTGCACAAATTTGATAAACTCCTCCTCTGTATTCTCCCATATTATTAGGATGTCGTCGACATAACGTAAGTATAGCGACGGATAACTGATGGTAAGAGGGGAGTTGAAAATTCTACGCTCAACTTCTCTCATAATGAGCTCGGCCAAGACTGCAGATAGCGGAGAGCCCATCGGAACTCCTCGTTTCTGCAAGTAGATGCTCTTGTTAAAAAGGAAATAGTTGTGCTCAGTGATGAATGTCAGCGCATCACGTATGTCTAGCACTTGTTGTATGTTGAATCCTTTTTTGATGATCAAGGAGTTAGCAAGCATTACGGCTTCAAAAACAGGTACCGATGGATATAAGGACACCACATCCAATTTGTAGAAAGTATAGGAATCTTTAGGCGTACTCCTCATGCTGGAAGCAATGGTGGACTTGGCAGCTATAGACGACGGGGTAACATATTGTGATTCCGGAAGAAGTTCACGCAAAAACTTTGCGAGCGCCTTTTCGAGGAAATATGTAGGATGCGATCTCTTGTTCACCAGTGGGCGTAACGGCCAGTTTACTTTGTGCGTTTTCGGTCGAAAGAATAGCCTAGGGCATGCTACGTTGGTGGGAGGATCAAGGCAGCCAGTTAGAGTCGAAGCTACTCCTGGTAAAGCTATTACTTTCTTTGTCCTTCGCAGTACTGTTGGTGTTGGATCATCATTTATCATCTGTGATTGTGATTGCGATAGGAACTCATTGGCTCTAAAGATGAAATCGTCCTCCTTGCACAGAACGAATCGTTTATCCTTATCAGAGACCAGAAGCCTCAAGTTATTCGTAGCTAGGAATTGCTTTACTGCTTGGTGGTTTACGTGGTACTTAGGTGTGCTGGATACTTGCTTCGCCGCCGCAAGCTTTGTGATGATTTCTAACTCCATTTGTGGGTACGTGGCTGGTACCTGGCAGGACTTCAATGCTGCTAATGCCGCTGGGACTAACTGGTTAAGGTCGGTATTATTAGGAGGGGAGATATATTTGGGTCCCTTTTGTAGTATGCCGTGCACTTCGACGTGCACGTCCTCTTCCGTATAATTAAAACGCATACAAAGAAGACTGGTAACAACCACTCCGTATTATAATTACACGGAAGAGGACGTGCCCGTCGAAGTGCACGGCATACTACAAAAGGGACCCAAATATATCTCCCCTCCTAATAATACCGACCTTAACCACATGCAACCATGTACCACATGCAATTTTAAGTGCTTTTACTGGGAAAGTTATGCAACTCATTGCTGTATTTTGTTTACTTATTACTACTTTATTATTATATGTATACATACATTTATATGTAATACAAATTTCAAAATTTCAATATAAAATTAATATTTAAATATATTATTTTTTAAAGTATTTAAGTTATTTAAAGCCTGACAAATTTAAAATATAATACTAATTTTAAAAAATTTTGAATCAATTTCTTCATTTATATTCATTTTTTTATTAGTAGATAACTTATACAGCTGTTAACAATAAACCATGATATTACTATCACAAATCAATAACCTGTATAAAAATAAAATAATTTGACCTTTGATATCAATTGATAAAACACACTCACTTCTTTGTATGAAGACATTAACCTTTCGACTGCATCACCTCCAGCAATGAGTATATTTTTAGCCGTGGTCATGTATTGAGTTCTGCTACTAACTCCATCATCTCCACTCAGCACATCACCTGTCAATTTAAAAAATCTTTTAATTTAGCATTTAAATTTTAATGATGGATCATATTTAAATTTTATATAATATTAAATTATAACAAAAATTTCATACTAAGTTTTTTCTTTAATATTTTGACTTAAAACTTATAATTAAAGCATAAATATTGCTCTAATCTTGTTTATTCGATTAATCAGATCAAGATTAAATCATAGGTTAAAGATTTGTTTATGTCATATCTAGAATTTATCAAACAGGAAAAACAGTTAATTTATTTGTTAAATTAACCTTCTGTACATCAGATGCAAATGTTTTATTATCAATAAAATCTATCACTTTCCTGCTTATAAACAATTTATATATTGTGAATCTAACAGTAATTCTAATTTAAAATTCCAGTTTTATAGATGTAAATTACAAAAATGATATCAATACTTTACCTCAATTTTAATAAATAATTAATTAATTTATGTTGCTATTACTTAATTACAGATTTAGAATGGAAATTAAAAATGTATTTGTTAAATCAATGAGCCACATATTGGTCAAAGTTCTTCAATTCTTAGGGATGATCTTATCTGTATATATATACACATATATATTATTATATATAAGTTAATAAAGAAAACAATTATTTATCATTTCAAGATTATTTTTACATTTTTACATATTAAATTTAGTACTTTATCTTTTTTCTCTCAGATAGCTTTTCATTTACATACACTTAATTCACACTTAACTAAGACTAATGTCAACTCAGTTAATTCTTTAAACTTACCTATATTAGAAGTCTATTCCTATCTTTTTCTATTTCTTTGATTAAAACTGTTCTAATAGTCATCCATCCAATTATGATATATTATTTTTATTGAGAAATTATTTAAACATACAATAAACATCACATTCTAATGAAATTCTTTTAAACACCAGTAACTGTCTTTTCTTTTCCTTAATCGTTTCAGCAATTTTTTACACAAGCTTAACTATATCATAGAGTTATATATAGTCACAGCAACACTTGGGATCAAATTTGCTATACTTNGAAGCTTAATTAGTGATATATAAACAGTATGATTACAATAGACTGTGTAATCATAATAAAGAGCTCTCTGTAGAAAGAACTATTGAGTAGTTCTCAAATAAATTTGATATATCAATACATACTGCCCAGAGTATAAGGTTTTGATTTTTGGGAAAAAATTAGTAGCTAGTAGCTGGTTCTATCTACTTCATTTTTGAAAATCATTTTCCCCATAGAAAAAGCATTAAATTTTCACTGCCATCTGCTAGAGATTGTATAACCAGAGGTTAAAATCAGCCTTAACATAATCAATTAAACCAGAAAAATAAAAAATAAAAAAGGTATTTTTATGTGATATTAAACACAAATTTATTTCATAGATTGATTATTGAACTTAAAAAAATGTCATGTGATGACTCAATAATCTCAAGACTATTATATCATGTTAGAAGACATCAAGATATGATTAAAATCACTGCTGATAATTAACACTCACATTGAAGAAGTCTATCCAGATGATCAATCATACGGATAATAAAATACCTTACTATATTTATATATAAAGATTCCAAGAATATGCTAGTTGGGCAATGACTTTGAACAATTTCATGGATAATTAAATCTGGCTTTCAGATTAAAATAAATAAATATATATATATAAATGCTAATATTAACTTAAAATTAAAAAAAAAAAAAAGTTAAATGTTTATTTTTACATTTTTACATATTAAATTTAGTACTTTATCTTTTTTCTCTCAGATAGCTTTTCATTTACATACACTTAATTCACACTTAACTAAGACTAATGTCAACTCAGTTAATTCTTTAAACTTACCTATATTAGAAGTCTATTCCTATCTTTTTCTATTTCTTTGATTAAAACTGTTCTAATAGTCATCCATCCAATTATGATATATTATTTTTATTGAGAAATTATTTAAACATACAATAAACATCACATTCTAATGAAATTCTTTTAAACACCAGTAACTGTCTTTTCTTTTCCTTAATCGTTTCAGCAATTTTTTACACAAGCTTAACTATATCATAGAGTTATATATAGTCACAGCAACACTTGGGATCAAATTTGCTATACTTTTTACAAAAAGGAAACAGATTCCTAATCCAATGTTTTCTTATAGAGAGTTATCTTAAAGCCAAGAAAAGTAAATAATAGTCAACAGAAACCCATGTTTAAGCCCAGCAGGTGGGTTTCTAATAGGAAAAATATGAACATAACTTTATTTTGTCATTTATATGTAATATCATTATTATTACTCTAACTAGTTAATAAAATTTCTCCACAATGTTAACATATTTTATGAAGAAGACTTGAAACCTTATTTTATAATTATTTAAAAATATTAAAATTGAAGGCAAATACAAATAAAATTTAAATTGTTCTTACACATCCTTCACAATAACAAAATATGAAGGACAGAAGTTCTATGACCACTTCAAATTTGTATTTGTATTCAAGTGTAAACATTTTTTTTAAATGTATTTTGACCTGAAATTTTTAATTTTTATTAAAATTTTTATATAAATTACATTTACTTAAATTATAAAGTAAGTTAATATTTTTTATTTGATTAAAAAATAATTTATATTGGATATACTTTGTATAATATCCTATGTAATTTATAAAATTATTGAATTATTACTATTGCATAATTCTTAGAGGAAATATTTTTAAAATCTCTTTGCTGGTTATGTAATCAATACTTGTTTACTCAACTTACAACAGGAAATGTTATATATACTGACATACCAATTCAATGCTATTAAAAACTTACTTAATTTTCTTCTGGAGAGTTATCTTAAAGCCAGGAAAAGTAAATAATAATCTTAACAGAAGCCCATGTTTAAGCCCAGTAGGTGGGCTTCTAATAGGGACAATAACAATAATCATATTTAATAATAATAAACTTTAATTTACAAAAATTTTTTAACATAGATATACACAATTTTTGTAAATTAAGGATTATTATTATTAAATTTTAATTTTTTGTTTAATTTGTATTATTATTATATAGTATTTAGTGGGTTATACTCAGTTGATACCGGTGGATGTGTACAACGTCGGACCAGAGTCAAGACATAGCAACCAAAAAATAAAATTAAATAAGTGTGTCAGTGTCTGTATTCAGGAATTTCCTGAAAATATGGCATGTATTCAATATAGAGGCCTTCTGTAATGTGATGTATGTATTTCTATTCAATTGTAATGTTCCCAGGCTTTTGTGTAGTGTGTGTGTGGTATCACACCTGTACAGGAGAGAACAACAGGTACAATAAGCATCCTATCCATCCTCCACAGATGCCTTATTTCCTGGGCGAGTTCTGTGTACTTGCTAATTTTTTCAGTGAATGTGTTTTGTATATTGTGAGTGTTTAGAATGAATATGTCTATAATGTATGTGATTTTATTGTGTTTGTCAATGAGTGTGATGTCTGGTCTGTTGTATAAATTGTTTTATCTGTGATTATGGCTCTGTCGTAGTACATTTTGTGTGTGTTGTTTTCTAATACTGTCTGTGGAATGTATTTGTAATATGGTTCATGAATGTCTAATAATTTGTGTTTGTTTGCAAGCTCTTGGTGTATTACATTTGCTACTTGATTATGTCTGTGTAAATAATCTGTCTATGCCAAGAGCTTGCAACCAGAAATGATGTGTTGTATAGTTTCTGGCATGATGTGACATTTCCTGATGTGTCATTTGTGAGTGTTGTATCTTTGAGTATGTGTTTTCTATAGTTTTTAGTAATTATGACCTGATCCTGTATAGCAATCATGAATCCTTCCGTCTCTCCAAAGAGGCATCCCCGAGCTAACCAGCTGTTTGACGCAGTTTTGTCAACAAAATCCTGGCCGAGGTCATAAGGATGCCTGCCATGGAGTGACTTTTGAGCCCACAAATGCTTAACGGAATCTATGCTTTTTATATGTTATGTTGTGTCCGTACGATGTGAGTCTAAGTTTAATTAATGGTGTGTTATTTCAGTCTGCTAGAGTTACTGCTTTATGTAATTATGATATTTCTTGTTTTCTGTAGAAAAACTCTCGCAGTGACTGTATTTGTTTGTAGTGAATGTTTACTATGCCAATCAGGCCATGTCCGCCATCTTTACGTGGAAGGATTAATCTTTCTGTGGTGGATTTAAGATGATGATGTTTATGCTTAGTAAGTGTTGTTCTTGTTTTCATTTGGAGTTGCTCAAGATCTGTGTGAGTCCAATGTATAACTCCAAAAGAGTATGTGAGTACTGGGATGACATATGTGTTTATTGCTTTAACTGTGTGTTTTGCATTTAACTGTGTTTGGAGGATAGCATTTAACCTACTTTGATATTCTTTAATTAATGTTTGCTTTATTTGTGTATGTTCTGTTAGTTTGGCCTGTTAGAATCCTAAATACTTGTAGAACTTGCCCTCTTCCATGGATTCAGTAACATCTCCATTACCAAGTGCAAAATCTTTCTTCAGGACTCCTTTTTCTATGTGAATTGTTTTGCATTTGTCTAGGCCAAACTCCATTTGTATGTTCTTGGTGTATGAATGTGTGATTTGTAGGAGTTGATGAAGTTGTTTCTGTGTGGATGCATAAAGTTTTATGTTGTCCATGTACATGTGATTTAAACTTAAAATCTTCTTACATGAATACTGGAAAGCATATAAATTAACACTCCAAAACCTTTAAACGTCCAGTAGTAAACAATTTAATAATAAATAAACATTTTCGACCGTACCTTCGGTCTTCATCAGGTTTAAAAACCAGTTAGATTCAAACCAGTGCAAGCATAGAACAATAATTATGAAATTATTTTGAAAAATGAAACAGCACAAACGGATTTTAAAAGAATACAATTATGCATGTGCATTGCCATGGCGACAGAATGTCATATGTAATACATACAATTATATAAATATATATAAATAAACACACCAAATGGGGATGTGGTCTCTAACTGCTGGAGTGGGCATCGCCCGCTACCTCATAGCAGTACTTCCAAGCGTGTGACACACTGACTGCATCATTAGCGTTAATGCAATTGGTGCGTAACCCGGCTTTGTAAATTTCCAGTGCCTCTAGATTTCGCAGGTGTTCCACCCAGTGAGAAAGTTTGATCAGTTTGGCCTCATGTAGGTCAGCTCTTATGCCGGGTTCAGTGGCATAAGTTGATAGGGCGGTGGTGTGCCGTTTATTAACGATGTTGTATTTGTGTTCCTGCAATCTTTTATTTAAAGAGCGTTTTGTGGACCCAATATAAACTAATTCCCTTTGAAACCTGTTGTCCCATAGAGGGACCATGTAAACACCCGGTGCTTGCTTTTTATTGATCTTGTCTTTGCCACCGCAGAGTAGCCCATATACAGTGCTAGGCCTCTTGTATGCAATCTTAGTATTAGTATGGGTGGCAATCTCCCTGTAAACGGAGTTGAGGTGGACACAGTCTCGTGCGGTGGTTGTACTCAACCACCGCACGAGACTGTGTGCTATTTACGTTGTGTGTTCCGTGGGCCACCGCTTGTGTGTTAGAAGTGTCGCATGTGGCTATTCGTGATACGTATGCGCGGGCAAGGTCGTGTATCAGGTTCTTTCTATATCCGTGCTGAAGTAACAAAGGCGAAGTTGAAACGCATTCAGAACATAGCAGTACAGCATGGATATAGAAAGTGTTAATTTGTACATGTGATGTGACAATACATAAAAAAAAAAAAAAAAACAGTTTATGTTTTTATTTATAAAGTCATTTCTTTTTTTTCCTTTAATTTTATGGATTCTACAAAAACAACAAAATATTTAAAATTATTGTCTACATTATTTAACAATTCTGTATCTGGACTGCTGTATGTTACTATGTATATAATTCGTCTCTGTAATCCAAAAGGTTTTTTTGGTAGACGGACTCACAGCAAAACTTTTAGTCAGGAACTCACTTTTATTCTTTAAAAAATGACATATGCATTTCGGGTTAGTATGTCATTTTTTAAAGAATAAAAGTGAGTTCCTGACTAAAAGTTTTGCTGTGAGTCCGTCTACCAAAAAAGCCTTTTGGATTACAGAGACGAATTATATACACTATTTAACAATCTTTTCAAAGTTTCAAGGATGACAAACTAGTTTTTGAGTTAAAAAATTGAATTTTCTAATAATTTCATTGCATTTATTCTTATTTTCATAAATTCTTAATTTCTGGCAATTCTAATATAACGTAATTATTTGATATTGATTTTTTGAATTAAGTTACCCTTCACATATTTTTTTTTGTAGTAACTTTACAAAAGTTATTAATTTTAAGAACATTCTGCTCAGTTCTTCTATAATGTACTGGAATAAATTATTCATGGACAATATAATTAAATTCAATAATAAATAACAGAAATGCTATTATAATGAATCTTAGAAATTATTAAGTAAACATTAAAAAACAAAACACTTTTGATTTTCTTTTAACTAATCCTTAATATATTGACAATATTTTAGCACAAGGACATAATCCACATTTGTCAAAACTTTCAGTGGAAGCAAAAAACACTAAAATATCAGATTTTGTCATAAAACCAACACACAGCATCAATACTAACAATGCTTTGGTAATGCCATTTTAGTAGATGAAGTACAGCATCTGCATGGATTTAATCCTTTTTCCAAAACATTGTTGTCATATCTTTAATATTTGATATCCAGTAATATTATATCAGATTCTAATAGTGCAATTCATTTTAAAAGTAATACTAAAATAAATTTTTTTCTTTATAATATTTTAATTTAATGATAATTGACATTGTCTAATTTATTTAAATATGTAAGCCACATTTTTTTATGTCCATTTCAATATAAATAATCATATCAATTATAAACAAATAAACACAGAACCTATCTGTCTAAAGTAGATTTCAAACATGCAACATTACAATCAAAAGACAAATTGATAACACTGAAAGCAGATTGCATTATTTATTCATTTGTAACAAGATTTTTCTATGTGTTTTCTTTACTAAATTTTTTATATTCAGAGAGGGAAATAGAATGAAATTTATATTTACCTTTATCAATTTTTGCTGTTCCCATTAATATAGGTAGAGAAACAATGATCATTCCTGTAGCACTCCAATAATATTTTAGAAGTAACTGCTCCAACATTACATACCATAACCTCTTATTAAATATGAGATTCATTTGTCTAGTTAGAGCTTTATAACTTTTTTGTAAAATAGACAGTTCCACCTAGAAAAATAATCTCTTATACTAGATGTTATTTAATATTTTAAGGAAAATTTATTGTTTAGAATCTGAAACTTTTAAACAAAATTAATTCATTTCAATTAACTGTTCAAAACTGTTAATTACTGTATAAATAAAATGATTTTTTCTCATAATAATGATAAATATCAAATTACGTAAATAAAATTTTCGTTATTTCATATTAATTAAACTGTTTAAAAGCATTCATACATTAATTTATATAATTAATCTCCATTCAAATAAATGAATTTGTTTTAATCAAAATTACATTTTTATAATCATTTAATAGTTAAAAACAATTTATCACTCTCAGAAGTGACTTATGTATTTTTAATGTCATTTTCTATAATATCAGAAGAATCATCTTAAGAACATTTATTAAATTTGAAACATATTTAGAACTACAAATTAATTTTAACTGATAATGAATTTTGTGGTTGGTAAACTTATTTATATTTTAAAAATAAATAGTATCAGAATTTCAAATTCAAATAAAAGATTTAACATAAAACATAAAGAGTTTAAAAAATATATGTATCTGAAATTCTTCTGGATGGGAAAATGTGATCACTTGACAAATAAAGGAATCTAAATGAAATCCTTAGTATTTAGATACAAGTATGCACTGCTTAATGACAGGAATATATTCTGAGAAATATATTATCAAACGAATATTACAGTGTGTACTGTACCTAGAGAAACTATATGGTACAGTCTACTCGTAGTACTTATATAGGCTATTTGTAATACAATAATAAGTATTTATGTATCAAAACAATATCTAAGTGTAGAAAAGATATAGAGGGTGAGTCATAAGTCTCCATACAAATGGTGAAAGAAGTGACTAATGTTTATTTTATTTGTACAAATGGTATCATATGATGCAACAGAATAATGTTTATTTTATTTGTACAAATGGTATCATATGATGCAACAGAATAATGTCAATCTGTTCTTCCTTCATTAGTGGCATTTCTTTTCAATTGGTTCACCTTCCTGAAAACGAAAACAAAATTAGTCACTGCTTACACCATTTTTATGGAGACTTATGACTCACCCTGTAGACATTCATGAATTTTCCAGCTCCATTATAATCTTACAGAACCTCTGTCATATATGCAATCTATCATTGAACAGCATATACCATACCTGAAGAAGCCCTAGACCTCTCCAGAAACCTTAGCAAGCAGCTTAAGGATAAAATTATGTACGAGCTGGACGAGGCAAGCTACCTCTTCAAACAACTGAGGCACTCCCTTGAGAAAGTCATCTCTCACAACCAGGACCTCGAAAAAACAGATCGAAAACTCTCAGACTTTGGCTCCCACAAACCACCCCCCTCCCATGCCTCCCCTTACAAGAAGTTTTAACTTATACTCGCAGATCGCGATTGCGGCTCCATCTCGGGGCGCGTTTGTTAGACTTTGTTAAGATTTATAAAAAAAAAAAAAAATTCAGATATTTATTGTGTTTGAGACCCAATTCGTTTTGTTAGCTTTATTGCCTAGTTTTGTTCTATCAGAGCCTGTTTACTCACTTCTTGTTGACACTGGAGTCGTTTTGAATGAGGCTGCCGGTTACTTCCTTGCTTTTAGTGTCTCTTTCCTTCCCTGGCACATGCCAGTACTGCAGCTTTGGCGTTTGCCACGCCCCCTAGCGTGTGCAGCCTTTCTCATCTTAGCCAAATTATCGCGCGCTTTCTTCGCGGCCTTTTCGGTTCGCGACCAGCTCTTTCTCACTATACCGACACAAAACTGTATAATCTAAACCCTCCTTCTTAATTTGTGTAACTTTATCTTGAGCTTTTTAAAAAATTTGCATACACTAAATAAATAAAATTCAAGCTCTATTCCTCTCTCTCCAAAATAATACCTTTGCACTGAGTCCATAACTTACTTCTCCTACTTCCTCCGCTGCACTGCTCGCCATTCATTAATCACGTTGCTTGGTAAAATTCTAGCCATAAGTACTAATATTATTAAAGCATATAAGCAGAATGTATTGAAACACCCTACAAAAGAAACCACCCTCAACTCATCATCCAGAAGAGTCGGTCTACTCCACCACACAGTTCTTTCTTGGCCTCTTTGTGTTCTCTGAGCGGCAAGGGGCCTAAAACCACAAATTAAAAAAAAAAAAAAAAAAAAAAAAGCATATACCATACCTAAATCTATAAATTTGCAGACTGACATTTATAGACAAGGCTATTAAAAGCTTGGTATAAGGCCCAGGGCTAAGAACAGATCCCTTCTGTCATTTTTACACAAATGAAATATGTTTATTAATAATGATGTTACACAAGTTTAAATACTTTTGTTTGTTAGTAAAAATAACATTAATTTATAGGGGTAGAAACTACTACTGGCCCCTAAATTTTCTCTGAGCCTGGGGAAAAATTTCCAGTTTCCTCTCCCAACAGCTCTACTCAGACTACTCACGTATTAAAATACTGTAATGAACCTAAATTTCATACTTTAGAATAATATATTCATCTTTGTGACTAAATCACAGAGCAGTTATTTTTTTAGCAGTTTATGTAGAATCTTTCATTTTAAAAGTAATAAATTATATATTAAAATAAATTTTTCTAAATATATAACAATTTTTGGTTTTCTATTTAAAACATTAAGGCTTATATATATTTGTATAATTTTAAAACCTTTAAATTTTTTTTGTAGTAATAAAAATTTAATCAAATCTAAATGGCTTCTAATATTACATTCTACAGCCTAAACAAATTATTATTATGAATTCATTAAATAAATAACTTAAAATCATTATCTTAGGTTTAACAAATAAATAATTTAAAGAAATATCTTATAGCTAATATAATATAATATCATTTAATTTTAAAATTTACTNTTTTGCATTTAATTTTAAAATTTACTATTTGCCACCATTCACTACAGCAGTTTATAAAAACTATAATTTACATACAAAGTTAATCAGTATAGTAAATTGTATTAATTTTGTATGTCATAATGCAAAAATAATAAAATGTAATATTTTGTGTAAACTTAAGGAAATCAATTTTTTTACATAGTCTTTAAGTGAAACTAAGACAAAAAATAATATTTAAATAATTACCTGAATTTCACATAAATTTCAATGCATAATAATAATTTACCTGATGGCCTCCGTAAAATGCAATCTCCTCCGCATTCGCTATTAATCGAGAATGCACAAATCTTAAATATCCTTTCAACTTTGCTTCTTCGGAAACTAATTTCCCAAATTTGGGCGACACTTTACGCAGGACGTGTCCGGTCAACACGACCATAAAAGCCGCCAAACCGATACCCTCCACACCATAAGTACCCATGTCGTGTGCCATTTTATAAAGAGTAAAACTAGTAACGACTATGTCTAATAACGGTTTGGTTATGTGCGAATACAAATGAGCCATGGACTGAGCGAAAGTGGTGATGTCTTCGGTGAGACAGTGATCGGCGTTTTCCAATCTACCGTCCAAATTTCCGACACCGTAGTAAGTCTGGTTGGTGAAATATAAGGAATAGGCATACCGTACCAATCTGGTACGAAAAGCCAACGAAAGCTGACTTTCCAAAAACCGTATCAGACTGTTGACGAAGGTAGCAGGAACCGCCACGAGTATCCACTTAGATAACTGTAAAGCAAAGTTAGTTATGTCCTTACGAACGATGAATTTGACAACACAACCTTCTAATTTAGCAACGTATATGGATAAAAATGTCCTAGACATGAGAGAAATCGTATGCATGACCAATATGCCCATTTCCAAAGTACGTAATCCTGGTATCATGATTCTTAAGAGTTTAGTTAATTGAAATATGAATTCTTTATTAAAAGCAGGAAACTTCTTGAGGTCAGCAAACGTCGACGAATCTTTCTTTGAACTTTTCGATTCCTTTTTAACTTTACACACTTCATCGTTTAAAGAATTTGTTTTTTGTGGACTAGTAGAAGATATTCTATTCTGCGCTTCTTTAGCTTTATCTCTTAAAGAGGTTAAAGATTTACTTATAACCGGGTAACTTATTCTTGCTGCATAAGCCACGAAGACGGCAGTCGCCAATCCTATTCTTAATCTTTCCGAATTCAAATTACTCTTTTCTACGGCTTCCTTCAAACATTTGGACACAGAATTCGTCATGTTTAACTTGTTTAAGTGGAAACGTTCTTATACGCTGCCGCAAAGCATACTTCACTATTTGAGGATTCCGGGTCATCTGAACACACGGTCACGGTCTTTAAAATTATCCTTTGCCAGCTTCCTTGCTTTGCAAATTCTCCGTTAGAGGCGCCTCCAGAAATATGATGTAAGCAGCGTTGCCAGATTTGGCTACTTATTTTTCAGTTTGGCGTTAAAAAAAGCATTTGGTGCACTGGCTACTTTTTGGGCTACAAAAATTTGACTTGGCAACATTTTGGGCTGGTTACACAAATTATTTCAACCTTTGTTTTGCGCACAGAACGGTAATACTTGTTGTGCAGTCTACTCGTTTTGTTTTTAAACAAAGTATAATTTATATAAGTTTTAAAATTTATTTATTATTGGTATTAAAATGGGAAAATGGACAAAGTATTCTCGGTCCTTTCGGAAAGAATGGCTTCAAGATAAAAAACTTAAAGGTAAGCACCTTTAAGATTTTTTTCTTGAAGCCATTCTTTCCGAAAGGACCGAGAATACTTTGGGGAAATTTTCCTCATTAAGTTGCATTTTTAAATATTTTGGCAAATGGCGTAATTTTAAATTTACTTAATTAAATTTAAACTTTTTAAAAAGATAGCTCCAGTAAGTATTCAGTCATGCTTGACAGGAGACTTTTTAGTTTATAATAGCTTATTTNTATTAAGATATTAAGATATTACGTTTCTTCCCGTTTTGAGAGAGAGAGTTTACAGAAGTTCGCGTGTCGATAGTTACCTTGTTTGAAAGCTTGATCTGGATCCCAGTCGGTAAGACAGAAAGTTCGGGAAGTCCAATAATCCAATAGTTCTTTTTCTTTGATATTAGGCGATTCTTGATATTAGACGATTTTTTGGATATTTGTCACAAGCGAAGAGGTATGTATCCCAAGGAGCACAGATTTTTCGTAGACGTAATCCCAAGGAAGAACTGGCGACGACTGACTCACTTTGTTGTTCTTCCCTAATGTTGAATTGTTAAAATCGCTATACTGGGTCGAAAGGTGATGAGAAAGCGTCGTTATTACGCCTGAGAACTTAGCAGATGTTTAGCTCCCAGGTGTAAAAGTTGACAGTTATTGAACAAAAGTATAGCTACACTGTGATCTTATGACACCGTGAAATGAAAGTAGGACTACGATGTGATCTTATGATGAGATGATATAAACACATCCGAATTCGGATCCTCACAGCTTATTTTTTAAAGAAAATTTAATATAAATTCCAGATAAATGATATCCTAGAAAGAAAGAAATAAGAAAAGAAAATGCACCTATAAACAAAAATGACTAATGGTAAATGCTATGCTATACGGAATGGTACCAAACATGGTTACTAGGGCGTAATTTTTATAAATTTTAATTGTTTTTCATAAAATTAGTAACAAATAACGTTACGCTAATTGCAACTGTTTGCCAATGTCAGCTTCTTGTAAATGTTTTATATAGTTGTTACATGTAACATACAAAATTCATATATTACAAGAATGCTATAATTCCTCAACAACAATCAAATGAGCAAAATGAACATGAAGTACTAAAATTTGAAATTATCACGTTGAAAAATCACTGGTAAGATCGTCATCATCAGAATCTTTTTCACTAGAACGTTTTTGTATGGTTGAAGCAGATGATGATTTCCAAGTTTAACATTTATCGCTGTAAGAACTCGATTTTGTAGTTTAGTTTTCATTAAATTTAATTGTAAAAAAATACGTTCAACTGCTGCATTTGAATGACGAAGCAATAAAAACATCTATTTACTGTCAAAGTAAAGTAAAAAAATACAGAAATATAGAATAAAAATGAATGTTTCGAAAGGAAAGGTATTAGGATTTCATGAATGGTACTAGGAAAATGGTGTTGGGTATCTTGGTACTGGGACAAGTAAAAAGGTACTAGATTAGTACAAAAGTACTAGGTAGAACAACACCTGGTACAAAAGTAGCCAACTGCTCGAGCAGTTGGCTACTTTTGGGCTACTTTTTAAAAATTATTTGGCTACAAGGGCAAAAAACATCTGGCAACACTGGATGTAAGGTGAATTAAATAGTTAACTCGAATAAACAATTTGTCAAGATCAAACTGAAATGGAGCCAAGGAACTCCATTAGTTTGATTGAGATTTTATTTATTAGAGGCCAGAACTTACAACTAACAAAGCATTGCAATTTTCATATAACGAATATGCAGTTTCCATAATTCATTATACATCGTATTGACAATGTGCCAATATGCAAAACAAACAAATTAACTCTTTCTGACCCGTGGGCACTAAGAGGGCCTCTTTTAGCAAGCTCATTGTGAATCTGGCCGAACAATTCTAAAAATTGTTCCTATAATAAAGTATTTTTTTTCGCATTTTAAATTTTTTTCTGTCACTGGCGGGATAAAAATACACATCTATTTGCGCGACCTAGAATTGAAGTGTCCCAATATTATCGGAAAAATTATTTTGTTCCGGATTTTATCTCCACGTATCTGACAACTCTAACTGGACCCCATTTGCACGATACTTATTTTTTTACTCTTTCTGCCCTGTATGCATTAACAGAGTCTTTTTAGGAAGCACTTTATAGATTCGGCCAGACCCACAATGGGGCGACCATGTAATGAGAAACGGAACCCGGATAAATCATTCCACGAAAAATTTCCTGGGGTTTTTCGATCCCAGGTTCCCAGAGAAGTAGGTCTTTAACTACTCATCTATCCACCCGCAAATTGAACAATACTGTAAAACTGAAATTACAATATGGGTCTAATGCACAAGTTGTTGTTTGTTAATATATAGCAATACAACACTTGAGCGATCTGCCTAGGGGGACGCCTTACGGGAGGTCTTTTTAAGGGAAACTGGTGTGAGGTCTGTCGACTGATAGCGTTAGTCAGGATCGTCACTCGGTCACGACTATCGTGTGGGAGTGAAAAAAAATCTCTCAGAGACGGGTTCCCAATCGTCAAACCGTTTAATAAAAATAAAAATTTCTTACAACTATCTCTATAATAAGGTGTAATGCCTATCCAAAATTGTAAACAAGTCTGTGCAAAACGTGCAGATGTTCCAACGATCGAGAGGTTGAGAACGACGGACCCGGGGCACTCAGCACGACTTGAAAAGATGATTTCCGGCGACCAAGTGTACCTTGACGATTCTTGAAGGGACGGTAGAGCGAAGACCAAATCTTGGGATGACGAAACAGCTTTCGTTATGGTATGAATCCCAGGAGCACAAAAACACGTCGAACCAAGAACGTCACATCCTTTTTTCGCGCGGTTTTTATAAGTTTCTTTTGGGTCCCAGACCGAACATTCCGATAGGTCGATGTCGACTTACCCCTCCTTTCCGATTGGTTTTTTACTCGTTACGAAACGTAACAAGATCAGAACCCAGACCGACTGACAATTCGATCCCTATCGAAGACATATTTTCATCTATTGTTTTAACTTGTAAAGTTCATCTTTCTTGGAAATTTTTACAGACATGTCCTTTTATGGACATGAAATATTCAATTTTCGTTTTTCTTTATTTTTCTTATCTGACGGTTTCTTTTTACAACGTTAAATTATTATTATTATTGATTTTTTTTCTATACAAAATTTTAAAAAGTTTCTTGTGCACGAATTTCGACCCACTTTCGGTGCTCCACACTGACCCCTATTTAGGCGTTATAGACGTGGAGAAAACCCGGAAAACTCCACGTGGCAGCCCGTCCGAGCGAGGCGCGAACTCAGGACTGTATTCACAGCGTTCAGGGTACGAAGAGCGCTTGACCATTGGTGGACCCCTAGTGCACATGAAATTGGAATAATGTATTGTGATCTTTAATACAAATTACTCAATTAACGTACAATAATAATAATTCTTTATTGATTTGACTTTCGTCTTTACAAAGGCGAAGAAAATAAATAAAATCAATAGGTACTCATAACAAAATAAGTAACATATACATAAATATAATAACTTCTTATTTTGAATAACATATCATATACATGTATGTGGTAGATAGAATAAGCTTTATTTTTATATAAAATCATTAAAAAAAGTTAGTGATTAATATAATGTAATAAATTTGTGAATGTTGAAAAAGCTTGTGTACCTTGAACATAGCTGTGGAATTAATTTTATCATTAAGCGAAGAATAAAAATTAAATTCGTAACCCAACAAAGATTTCTTTAGCTATTCTAAAGGCTTGTATTTGTTGGCCGGATGGCCGAGCGTAGATAGCAGCCGACCACTCTAGGGGATCGAATCTGGACCGTCGAAAAATCCCCAGAATTTTTCGGGGGTGTCCCGACCGGATATGTCGGCCCCCATCTCTCACCACCCGGCCGCTCCATTGTGAGCCTGGCCGAACCCATAATGGGCTTGCTAAAAGAGGCCCTCTTAGTACCCACAGGGCGGAAAGAGTTAATATACAGTGTTGTTATGGAACAGGTTAAATGCATGAAGCTTACACTATTGAAATTTTTACCATTTTACATTTTTGATCTTGTGATATGTGTTAATCAAGTTTACAAATATCGGACACAAACTTACATTGCTTACAAGCCAAGGTGATTGGGAGCAGGACATTGGATTTCCAAATGAAGACTGGTGCTTCGAATCCTTTCCAGCCGGATACAGTCGTATATGATGTGGTCGGAGTGTCCCTATATGCCGCAAAAGTCGTACGTGTCTGTATCAACATGTAAGTTGCTAGGGTTAAGCCATCTAACGAGGCTCAACTGTCAACTTCCATGGGAAAGAAAACACTACCGATGATCCACTTGTCGTTATTGCTGGAGATTTCGATAAACGTCTGGAACTGGCTGCAGAACCTAGTAATTAAGGTACAGTTAATAATAAGTGGCTTATTTATACAGATGATAGCCCAAGATGGCTTGTTGCTACAGTAGAAGAGTTGATTTTTGCCGATTGGCCAGCCAAGAGGGACACTACCACGTTGATACGGCTCCTGAACGACCAAGATAACTAGGTTGGTATTGGCCCATGCAACATGCTGCGAAACGGCTGCTACTCCCTTTCCAAGATTTACCTGCACTAATTTAATGTTATAGATTGAACTTTGTGGATGCTGGCTGATTTGCTGGGTAAGGCTATGGTTATCCATAGTCTGTTCTTGATGTTATCGCTTTTATAGGTTTTTGTCGTTCAGTGCAGGAGGAGTGATTAGCCTTATGTGCAAAAATTGGTGACTTGTTCCTTATACATTTGATGCATTTAGGGGCGGTGCTTTTATTTCTGCATTCTGTGTATCTGTGGTGTCCGTCACAGTGATTACAATAATTTCTGTCTATCTGGCGTTCTCTGGCAAGATGGCCATTCTACAACGCTTATAGCATTGTATAATACTGTAGTGCTCTTCGACACCGGACCCATTCTAAGTTGACCTTCTTTATCTTAAGGATTGTTTTCCGAAACCTCGGAAAACAATCCTTAAGATAAAGAAGGTCAACTTCCAAGGGTTGACTTGGGGTTTGCTCCCCCATTTACTCTTGATATTAATCTTTTTTTTTAAATTCTTCTATGTCTGCATAATTCCGGGAAAGGGCGTCGTTCTGGTTGTAAAGACTCCCAATTATATCAGGCCTCTTCAGGCTGGATGACACATTATTAAATATGGCTATCTTTGGCAAGATCCTCTTTGGTTTTCTGGCTGATAGGTTCTGGATGCTATTTATTTCTTTCACCACGTCTTTACTTTTGTGTTTCCCTTCCATCTCCATCAACAGGCTACGATTCTTACTTTTTCTGATTTTCTTGACTCCAACTTTAAGTTTTTGGAATCAAGCTTTTCCTTTATCTTGGTTTTTTATGGCTTCTGTGTTTTCGTTCTGGTCGGAACTTTCGATGATCACGACTGTATCCGAGCTGAAAGAAGAAATAGGACTTACCTTGACCTTGTCGGCGTATGACTGGGTGGGCTGCCTCGCTGCATTGCTCTTAAGTTATTTTTTATATTAATTTGTATAATAATATATGTTAAATAACACTCAACATATGTACACAGAAATGTAAAGTTCACTTTTTGTGACGAAGGTCCCGACTTTTCTGAAATTCTTGTTCTTTTGCAATAAAGTCATTAAGTTTCAATTGTCGCTTTTTTCTTAAGCAAATGTTGGTAGCGGAAGATTGCATCCAAAATGCTTTGTTTCGCTTTGGCACTTCTTTCAAAATCTAGATCATTCGCTACAGTTTGATTGGCGATTTCGGTTATCTTACTAAACTTTTACTAAGGAAATCTGTAGAGAAACTTTTTGGGTTCTTCGTCTTCAGAATCTCTATTTTCCAATTCCACATGAATTTCATGTTCTGCCAGTTCTCGAAGGTTGTCGTCGGTATGGCTCTCACAAGAAACCCGCAGTAACTCATCAATATCCCACTCGTCTATATCTCCTAGTCCTGTTGTATTGATTAGGTTGACAATTTGGTTGACCTAATGATACAGCGATAGGATCTTCTCGTCGAGAATTGTTGGATACTTTCAGCCATAACTTCTTCCACATTTCGTTCGTGCATTTATCAGTTAATTCTTGCCAAGACGAGTCGATATTGCCTATGGCATCCGTGATATATGAATCCAAAATTGCACCAAACAAACACAGATTTAAAGAAAGTACACCTTTTTGCCACCTTTTGCTGATTGGTTCGTGTTCGTAAATAATCGTATTATGTACAAATCAATGAAATGCCGCGATAATTTAAATCGGCGTAAAATTTGAGGTTTTTTAGGGTTCGAACAGACCGCGTTATATCGAATCAGCGCTAAGCGGGGTCTTACTGTACGATTTTTGCCATATATTAGTAATTAATTTTCTATAAAAATCATTACAAATTATTTTACAAATACATAAAGTTAATTCAAAAAAATAATTAAAATAGTATTAAAATATTTAACTAGTAAATAATTATTAATAATTTTTCAAATTAATAAATTCGAATTCTGACAGCAGGTGGCGAGATAGTGGTGTGGTCGTGGTCTGTTGGTGGACTAACGACTTTATAAAAGGTTATTTAAAGATTTTTTTCTAAAAAACAGTTAATTTAAAATCGGTAACTATTATTAATTTTTCATTAATTACAATGGTTATTGTTAATGCATTTAAGTGATGACGGGGGAAATTAATTCTGTTATCATTAAAAAATAGTTTAAAAATAGAGATGCATATGCAACACTGAAAACAGAAATAGCTTCAACTTGTAACAATTCAGATTTATATTAATATTTTGAACCTGCGCGATTCATTATTTGTATAAAATAATAATAAGACGGTGTAGGATTAGTTTTAACGTGAATTTTTTTATAGTTTCCTTTACTTCTAAATAAATTCGTAGAATATGATCTTACTTCTTAAAGCAAAAGTAAATATCTTGCTCTTGCTTTAAGGTCATATCTGCTTTAAAGCTGCAATATCTTATTTGCAGCTTGAAGCGTGAATTGCGGCCACCGTTCCCTGAACGCTGGGAGTTCGGTCGTGGGTTTGTGCCTGGCTGGGACGATGGACTTTTCCTGGTTTTCTCCACCTGTATAACGTCTGAATAGGGACTGGTTACTCTTAAAAAGACCTCCCAGAAAGCACTCCTATAGGCAGATCGCCCAAGTGTTGTGTTGCTGTAATTTAGCAAAACAAAGAAGCGTGATTTGATGGGTTCCTAATGAGATACCATTTTCCTTAACTTGCTTTCTATAGTGCTAAATGATTTGTAAAATGATGAAAATTAAAAAATCAAAACTGTATTTTAAAACAGTGTTTAAAGTTAGTGATTATTTGTTTATAAGACAAACTAAAAATGCTTATATGACTTGAAATATATTGTCAATTAGTTATTTCCTGTCGTAGAGTTGATGCATAGTACATCATACAAACATAAATTAAAATGTTTACTAAATGTAAATATAGTACAGAGGTGCCTTGTACATTGAATGACTATAAATTTTAATGCTAAATTTGAGAAAAGTTGGCTTTGGACTTTGAATGATGTTTCAAAGTTCATACTGTATGCACAGTGAAAAAATGCATTTGAAGCAAAATTCACTCTGCAAAATGCATCCAAGTTGTCTCTTGTTCTCTCTCTTGTGTTGCACTTATATGTTTTTGAGGCTTTTTTTTGCTTTATTTTTTGTGTTTGGTTATATATATATATATTGTCTATTATTTGTCAATTTTTAACAGTTTGTTCTTTCAATTTTTCTTTGTCTATGGCTTTCGGGTACCCTTTGTATTGTTTAGTTCAAAATTTCTAAAACAGAATTTTTTAAACCACATTTGACATGTTCAAAGTTTAGGACATCTTCCCTATACATGTTACAAATATCTTTTCCTATTTTTATGTTATATTCTTTCCAAAACTCATAAATCATAATAAGTCTGATTACTTTTTATCCAAAGACATTTCAACTTTGTTTTATTCAAATAAAATGTGAAATAAAAACTTTAAGATTTTAAACAAAGAATACAAATTCACATTAGTAATAATGTGTTAAATTTTGCAACTGTTATACTTAAATTACACATCTCTGTTAAGTAACAATGGCTGTTAAAAAACACAAACACTTTCTGTTTAACTCAATATGATATTTACTTATTAACTATGGCATCCAAGAAGAGGGTAGAAGCAACAAAGTCTAAGAGGAAAGTTGTAGTGTTGATGATTGAGATGAAAAAGAAACTTATTACAAAGCATGAAGTAGTATGCTTGTAGTGGATCTTGTGCCCATATTTAAGATATTGAAGTTGATGATGTGAGACCAATAAATGCAATTTACATTTTATCATCAGTATTTATGTATTTTATTTATTGTTTTCATGTTTTAATTTATTATAAGGGCAATTAATTTTGTTACTTTTACCTTAAATTATGTGTATTTGCTGTTTTAAGTTTATCAAAATGGGTATTGTTTAGAGTCTGGAAACAAATTAATTTGTAATTTGCGTGAAAAAATCTTCTTTCCACAAACGTTTTCGAGCTTTCCAAATAGCTCTTCTTCAGGTAGAGAAAAAATTCTGACAAAACACTTCGAAAAATGGAACGTAGATATTTAAATAAAAAACCGAATCTAAAAATAGAACGCAGATGTTTAAACAAAAAATATCCATCTGTAAAGCTAACCACCGGACCACATGTATAAATCGGAAGGATGAGATTAATCTTTCTATAGTGTGGCAGGCCCTCATAAACAACGATCTATAAATAGCAACGCATGACCATCTTAATGATCGTTCGTTAAGCGAGTTTCATATTTTTTGTTTAAGCATCTGCATTCTATTTTTAGATTCGATTTTTTATTTAAATATCTACGTTCCATTTTTCGAAGTGTTTCGTCGGAATTTTTTCTCTACCTGAAGAAGAGCTATTTGGAAAGCTTGAAAACGTTTGTGGAGAGAAGATTTTTTCACGCAAATTACACCGGTAACAGGTTCTGTATTTAGTATTTCATCCCCGGTGTCAGAGTGAAGTTTAATTTACTCAAATTAATTTGCGTTACATTATTTCTAATGGAAAAAATTGACTTGGAGTTCAAATAGGCTGCTGGAACGAATTACAGTAGAGCGTCGTTTATCCAAATCAATTGGGGACTCGGGTTGTTCGGATAACTTATTTTTCAGATAACCAATTATGTACGAAAAAATATATTAATTTATCCCGTGTTGAAATTTTTCTCCGTTGCGTGTCGCTTCGCGTTGAATTTTTGTTGATGTTAATCCTAACAAAGACTATTGTATCTTTAAAAATTATTTTTTTATTTTGTACAAACAAAATAAATATATTGAAAAATATAAAAACAATAAAAAATTATACTTCAGAAGTTAATTTAGTATCAAAAACGTAAAATATTTGAGTAGCCAAAGACATAGCCAAAGATTACAGCGCCACAGCACTGGCGAAAATTTAAATTTGTCGACTGGAATTCCTTCGGATAACCAACCTTCGGAAAAACGACGCTCTACTGTAAATTCAAAGTACAAGGCACTATACTGATAATTGGATTCCTTCCAGCAAACAGTTGAGAGAAGCCTTAAAAAAATGGAAAATTTCTGGAAATGTCTGACCAAACCTGAAAGGTTGTAATGAAGACTGGAGCAAAAAGATTGAGTGCATTGCCTAGTAAACTGGTTTAAATTTAACTAGATAAGCAAATGGATTGTTATTGATTTGCTTATTCAGCTGCATTAGCCTTGGTGTACATTATTATACAAACCATTATAAATGAGTAAAACAAACACTAACCAAAATGAAATATTGTTTGTATTATACTGTATAACACAAACTAGGTTAGGATGTTGATTGATTGAACAGACTTAAATTCAGCAAAAGTTGAGAATATCTCAATACCTAGTAACCTGATCAAATACTCATTGAAAAGTGACAAATTGGCAATTTATATCCACTTTGTGGTAGTTATATGTGTGAAAACCTGGACTTGCTTCAGAAAAATCAGAAAAGATATGATTATAACTTTTCCCACAGACTTTCTTCCTTGTTTGAGGTGACACATTGAATGTGTCACCTCAAACAAGAATCAAAAAAGATTGCTATTGGACATTGATGTTGCAACATTGCTAAAGAAGGGCAAGGGGAAAACAGGAAGGAACCCCAAATAAAACGCAAGGTCCAATCATCATTATTTTCCCACCTTTGAACTGGTGTTCCTGTCCAGTCTTTTTTTGGATACTGCTCAAGCTGTTGTCAATCCTCTGCCCTTCTCAACACATCCAAAGATGTCCACCCTTTCGATTCATTGAAGCACCTTTTGAACTACCTTGTAGACCAGCAGTACATCGATCTGCCAATTTCTACTAAGGTATTTACTAATGTGTGACTGATTTGTAACCAAGGAACCAACTTCTACTAAGGTATTTACAGATGTGCGACTGATTTGTAACCAAGGAACCAACTTCTACTAAGGTATTTACTAATGTGCAACTGATTTGTAAACTATCTCTCTCTCAGTCAGGGACTATAATTGATATAAAAATTAGTGCCTTGCTAAGTGTCTTACGGATGTCGACAAAATGATTAGAGTAGGTAAGATTCCCTCCAGTTTGACTTTGATCGATGATATCAAAAAATTCAGCATTGACAAAAATACCCTTCCAACTTACAGTTACCACCTCTCCCACCAGCTTGTCCCTGATGTTTACTTCTAAGATCCAGGTGATCATCCCATGTTTAGGATTTACACTGATGGTTCCAAGATGGGTGACGATGTGGATGCTGCTTTCCTAGTTTACTCCGACTTGGGCCACAAGCTTCACAATCTAAGTACACACTGCTCAGTAGCACTAGTGGAAACTTTAGCTATTTATATGAGCTTAATTCACATTAGGCATAGGAAGGACAAAAGACTACTTACACTATCGCATTTATTCTGACAGTAGGGTAGCTTTACACAAGATTGCGAAGTCTGATAGCCGCTTATACACCATCTCATACACCACATTCTCAGACACTTAGACAACATTAGAATAGATTTCCAATGGGTCTCGGGTCATGCGGGGGTTCTCGGCAACGAGACTGCTGACCATCTTGTCAAACAAGCTGCAAAATCTTCAGTCACTAGTACTTTCAGTTACATTCCTATCTCGTACATCAACAATCACGTCAAGAAGCAAATCTTCATTTTCTGGAGAGACAGCTGGGACCATGACACCACTGGTAGGCTCACCTACACTTTCATCCCCAAGGTTGACACTACTGCGATTTTTCGCCACTTTTATCCTAGTTACACCCTCACTCAGTTACTTACAGGACATGGCAACTTTAAACAATACTTGCATAGATTTAACCTTGGGGACAATCCAGTGCTGTATTTAGAACGTAAGGGGCCCTGGGCCAGGACCAAGATGGGGCCCCCTTAATGAAACAGAAACAATGGTATATTACAGACCTAGGGATGCATTATTTGTTTTTTTCCATGGAGTATATACAATTTTTCATCTCCCTCGGCCAGGAAGTGGCATTTTCTTTCCGCACAGCAGGAAGAAATTACTGTTTTTGGCAGATGTGTGGTGAATAAGAAGTATCAAAAGTTTTGTAAGTTTGTTCAGTTTTAAGATCATTTTCAACTATGTATAGGAGAAATAAAGTATTTGATATTTTTAATAATTTGTTTAATTTAATTAACCTGTTTTTTATTTGTAACTTTATTACTTTTGGATTGGGGGTCCTGCCATAAAGATGGCAATGGCACTGGGACAATCCACAATGCAGTTGTGGTATTCAGTAGGACCAAACACCACTTCACTTAGTTTTTCACTGCAATAGGTACAGTCACATTAGGGATAGTTTAAAGAGAGCTGCTATTCTTGAAGGATACAATTGGCTTTGCAAATCAACTCATTCACACACGTTCAATGTTCTGTCATCTGCTTGCATTCATATCCCTTAGTGGGGCTCTTGAGAGCACTCACTCTAGGGGCACAGATGGAAATTAGCTTTCTCTTGCTTTGTTTCAACTGTCAGTATATAGCTGCCTTTTAACTTTGTATTTTAATTCTTATTTTTTGTCTTCTTTTTCAGTCTAAATTCGGTTAGTCCTAATTGTAAGTTAGATTAGGGACTCTTAGCTTGGTTTCTGGTTAGGTTATAATAGATTCAGTTAAATTAGATTAGGGTTTGTTAGCATTAGTTGCCTGGTTAGATTCGTCCTAGGTTATGGTAGGTTAGTTTAGTTAGTGAATAAGTTAACGTTTAAAAAAATAAAAAAATTAATTAATTAATAAACAAAATTTGGGGGTCTTGCTCATTTGTCTCTGTTGGTCTGTTCATCTCATCTAGTTTGTCATTGTGTTCATTTTCTTTTCATGCTGTCTGTCTAGCTGTTAAGTAGTATTAAGATTTGTTATCATGTTCAGTTTCATTAGTATTAAGTAGATATAAGTCTTCTTAATAACACGCACTTGACACTAACTTCTACACTTAGCTATTCGTGGCAGCACTGAATTATTGGTGTTCTCTGCACTCAGGTTTTCTTTTAGACGTTTTGGGGACTACAGCCTTGCATCCTAAAAACTGCACGCCAACATCAAATGTAGAGGGTACTGTAGCCATACATATGCCATTCAGAGGAATCCTATTTTTCTTTACTGTCTATCTCCTCTCCTTCCTTCCTTCTCCTCCCCCTTCCCTTACCTTCTTTTCTGCTGGCTAAACACTTTGTGTACAGCTGATGTCTTTCTTGTATGTATAAACACAGTTATATTTATGTATTGCAAGGTAATGAGGTCCCAGATTATTTTTATTATTATTTGTTAGACATTGATGCATTAGAAATTAAACAGTAGCATATATAGGTAACCCTGCAACAAATAGATATTTTATTTCCATTCATCTTGAAATCATAAGTTATGCTTTTCTTTGACATTTATTTTACACAAAACTGAAATTGTTTAGGGCAAAAAATGCAATTTTTAAAATAAAAAAGATATCCTTGACCATTGAAATAAAAAACATCTCTCTCGTTCCTTGATTTGCTATCTGCACATGCTCTTAACTGTGCTGTAATAACAAGAAAGCTTTATAGATTATAGTGCTATCAACTCATACAACCAATAAAATTTTTTTATATGTATATGAATATCATTGCAAAAATTATGGAATTAGTATTCTTATGGATATTACAAATGTTTTTGCATTTTAACAGGCTGTAGATTGTAATCAATTGCTCAATTGCTGAATCATTTTTGATCAGTCCATCAGATTGTGCCAACACCAGCACAGTTAAGCTGGAATAACTTTTCCAGCTTTACTGCAATTCTGTTTTTCTATATGAAAGATTTTAATTTATCTTAAATTGCTTATATCATTTAATTTTTGCAATGATATTCATGTACTCCACATTCAGTTTATTTTATATGTTTGCACCATGTTGATTTTTATCTTTGATGTCAAATTTTATAATATTTAAACTTTGATTTCAGTTAACTGAAGTTAAAACTACTTTTAACGATGCTACGAATATCTTCAAAATGCATAAAACAATCTATAGGAACTGTATGGAATCAATCTGGCAAGTTATCTGTCATCTGCTATAACATAATTTATTTAGAAGTTTAATGAACATTTTGATTTAATTTTCTTTTTTAGTTCGTGCAAGCGCATCGACTTCGGTACAAGATAGCAAAAAGATTGAAGTGTTTGTTGATGACAAACCAGTGCTAGTTGAACCAGGAACTACTGTTTTACAGGTTGAAATATTGTAAATAATGAAATAAAGGAAAATTGATTATAATTTTTTAAATTTTATTTTTAAATAAATAAATATAAATATAGGCAGCTGCAATGGTAGGAGTTGAAATACCAAGATTTTGTTATCATGAGAGACTTTCTGTTGCTGGTAATTGTCGGATGTGTCTGGTGGAAGTTGAAAAATCTGCAAAAGTATGTGTAAATTGATAATGTTATTATTTCAGAATTGTTTTTTTTTATAAGGAATATAATGATATTTCTTTAAATCATTATTTTTAAGCATTATATTAGAAGTTTATTAAATAATACTTAAAATTATTAATACTTAAAACTACTAACAATCATTTTAGTAATTAGTAAAATATTCTTAGTAAATTTGAAACCGTGTCTTTTCTTTTTCTTTATTTCTTTAGCACAATGAAGTGCGATCAATCAGACACTAGGCAGTTTATCATTATTTATTAAATTTCAGTGAATACGCATTTCAGAATTGTAATGTCCCTCCTCAGTCAACTGTTTTTGAAAATGTACATTCAATTACTACATATAAATAAATCTCTAAAACTACTCATATAATTTTAAGAGAGAACATACCTTCTAATTTGCACTTCATAGTAGTAGACTTTTGTAATGTTTAAACATAATTTCTTAAGATGGGTGCATGCATGGTTGTTCATTTTTTCTTTTCTTTTCATTCTATTGTTGTTACTGTAAATTATATTAAGTTATAAATAGTATTAAATTTGTGAATTAACATTTTCAATAACGTACCTTTTTTGTTTTTTTAAGATAAATAAAAGTTTGTGTAATTAAAACTTTTCTTAAAACATCAACAACACTTTTTAGTGCATTCTTTCCAAAGGCTCTTGTAAAAAGAAAGTTTCCAATCATGCATGCACTTTTACAGTACTTTGTCATCTTCATCACTTAATCTCACACTGGTTTTTATTTTTATTTAGAAGACTAAACAATAACTATATTCTACAGGATTTTCATTGTTAAAATTTATAAATTATTAAAAAATAATATTTTTTAGTAGCTTTTTCTTTGTTTCTACAGATCATTTGTACTAACATGTGGCTAATGTAAATGTTTTTGCAATAATCTTTTTACACTACTATTTGTTATAACAATTTTCAAAATTTAACAAATAATTTTTACAATTTTATAACACTTATAGCTAACTTATTTGTTTTTATGCTGCGGTTTTTCTTTGTTTAATAACACATAGCTAATTTAAATACATCTAAGGTTAATCAATCTTTTTTATATTTTTATAATTTCTATGATTTCTAACATAAGTTTTTAAATCTAATAAATAATTTTTCAACTTTACAATAGTTTTAGCAATTCTCATTTATTTTTATACTAAGATTTTTGTTTATACTGTTTTTATTATGCAGAATTTCTAAGCTTTCCTTAAATTTAATATTATTTGCATTTTTTTCTTTTTGTAAAATTTTTATATTGTCTTTGTCTATGTTGCAATTATTTAGTGTGCAGTGTTCATAGAATGCTGAATTATTTCTACTATATTTTAGATCTGCTTTATGTTCCTTAAGTCTAATTTTCATTTTAGTTTTGTTTCTCCTATATAATATTTTGCAGTGTTACATGTGCATGGAATTGAATAAACTATCATGTTTCCCCGAAAATAAGACAGTGTCTTATATTAATTTTTGCTCTGAAAGATGTGCTAGGTCTTATTTTCAGGGGATGTCTTATTTTTTCCATGAAGAAGAATTCACATTTATTATTGAACAAAAAAATTCCCAAGTCGAACTTAGACGAGAGTGATGTATATTTGGTTGTGTCAAACTGAACTTAAATAAAACTGAAGTCACAAACTGAAGTGAACTTACGAAGTTTCCGTACTGGAGTGGACTTCCCACTCTCGCTTCAACTTAATATTTTTATAGCGTCGACATCGGGCTCGATGACCAATTAGTGCTTACTGAACCGTAACACTATGCAAATGTGATGTGGCGTGATTCCTGGCCGACCAATTAGCCATCACCAGCCGTAACGTTATGTAAATCTGTGATACCCAAGCCATAGTTTTATATAAATCATGCCGTGTGGCGTGATTGTCTGCTGACCAATCAGTGGCTGTACTTTCAAAAAGCCAACAGCCACTTTCAAGCATCTGTTGATGATCGTTACGAGTAAAAAAACTTTGCTAGGTCTTACTTTCAAGGGGAGGCCTTATATTTAGCAATTCAGCAAAACCTATGTTAGGTCTTATTTTCAGAGGATGTCTTATTTTCAGGGAAATACGATATGTTATTAATTTCTTCTACTTTTTGTTTTTCTTTTTGTGCAGATTGCTTCTTTTTAATTCTAGAATATAATTTTTTGTATGTTGAAGCTAATTTAACATTAATTTTTTTCCATTTCATTATGAATATCCTCATATAATCCTTTTATGTATGGAAAGGCCATGTATTTTATCTTTGATGTTTTGTTCTTTTTTGGATGTTTTCTTTCTTTATATGTATTTTTTATTCCCATCATTTGAGTAACCTGTTTGGATAGCCATCTAGCATAAATTTCTTTTTAATTCTATTATACTTCTCTGCACATCAATACATTTACTGATCCTGTTTTTTTATTTTATTGTCTTCCATTCTAAATGTGTTATCTTTAATGTATAAAGGTATATTAGAGTTATACTTACTAGTTATTAGTAGGAATATTAATTGATGATGATGTTAAATTTCCATTATTTTATTACTTTTCCAAGATCTGTTCTTGATCAATAATTAATTTTGAATTCATGATTTTAAATATCATAGAGCCTATATGTATGCTATATAGTTTTAAATTCAGTTGCAATATATACATATTATATATTCAAAACATTTATTTATTTATTAAATAGCCAGTTGCAGCTTGTGCAATGCCTGTTATGAAAGGTTGGAGAATAAAGACTAATTCTGAGATGACAAAAAAAGCAAGGTAAAAATTTATTAATAAGTCATTAAAATTAAATATGTTATATTTAAGAAATTCTAAATTATGCTTTTTAAATGCATAAAATAAATTTGATGTATTTTTTTACCAGTTAATCTGTAAATAGTTATAATGTTTAAGTTTTACTTACACAAGCTGGTATCAGAAACTTCCCAGACTAGGACTAAAACAAAGTTAGACTTACTTTGTTTAAATTTGTTTGCCATTCCTTTCAAAACAGTTCCCTTCAGAACATACATGATAATCCCAGTACCTCTTTTATTCCTCAAAAGGACTACAGGATGCCTTTTTCCAAAAGCCAACAAATATCACCTGCAATTTTATTTGGATTTCATCTATTTGAAATTCAAATGGTATTACAAATTTCAGAATTTAAAATTGGAATTTCAAATTTTAGATTGGTGCCCTTCAGTTTGAATTCCATTTTTGAGAACAAAGAGAAATCATAGGGGGCTAGGTCAGATAACTAAAGAGTGTGTGGGACAACTGTCATGCTGTTAGCTGTCAAAAACTACACTGTCGTGAGGAATGTGTGAATTGGCATGTTGTCATGATACAACAGGAAATTGTGGCTGTGCCACATTTCTGATAATTTTTGTTGCACATCTGAGGCACCTGAAAACATTGGGTAATAGTGAGAATTTACCATGCTGCTAGGAAGATCAAATTCTAAGTGAATGATTCTCTTGAAATCAAAAATCACAATGACCATGCTTTTTGTGTTACTCTGGATTTCTCAAGCCTTTTTTAGTCTTGGTGATTGTTGACTTTTCCACTGCAATGACTGTTGTTTGTCTCTGAATCATAACTGTAAACTTGACACCTGTGATGATCCTAGAAATGAAAGTTGGATCATCATTAGCCATCTCACAAAGCTCAAGGTGCTGCTGTTTTTCATTGAGTTTCATTGAGCCTATGGTCAAACTCTACAGCAACTCAAAGCACGTGTGAACCACCGGGAAGGTTGGAGGTCTCCCTTTCCGTCAACAGGTCGTTAAACCTGCTCACTGTCAAGATGGCTTAAATGTTTCTTCTTCCCTATCCTGCGATAATGGGATTTAATTGTTCGGATCGAGTGGAGGAGGGAGGAGTGCCGTCAGTAAGGTGACAGGCGATATACGAGTAAAAGATGACACCAATTTAACAAGAAAACAACGATTTATTAGCTATCTACATAGACGGTACAATAACTATTATCAAGGGGAAATGCTGAGTCCCTAAAACGCGAGGGCCGAGAGAGAGTTCACAAAAGTTTGTTCCATACCTTTTTATGTTGATAGTTCTTTTGAGGAAATTAATAGTATATGTAGAACACAATATTCGTAGGATACAAGATTTGTAGGACACAGTATCTAAGTGACTGTAGATGAACGACTCCCCCGAGAGGGGGAAGCAAGTGGCTTTTATAGTTTCGTCGTGGGAGAATGGTCATGTGACCAATTGTTGTGAGGTAAAAAGTACGCAGATGGGTCAAAGTTGTCCCCGGGACCATGCAAACTATCAACTTTGGAGTTGGAATGTGGGATTATTTTCGAAATGGCCAGATGTTTACTTTGAACAGAAGGGGAGATTGGAAATTTTTCCTTTTTTTTGTTAGATTTTAGTTTAGGTTTTAAAGTCAAATTTAATTGGGGGTTTAGGAAAATGCAGGATATTAATTGGAAAATTCTGTAAAAATTCCAGATTTCACACATGTTACAGTTTTCCATGAGGATCTGAAAGATTTTATTACCAATTCTAACCGTGTCAGCAAGCTAATGATTGTTCAACATCAGTCCCAATGGATGAGTTTGCAAATTTTTCAATAATTTCTGTGTTTTGCTAGTGGCAAAGGCTCATCATCTTGAATCAACATTCAATTGATGTTGAATTGCACATGTCATTCAAACATTTGCATTTGACCTTAGAATATTACTGTAAAACTTTGCAAATACATTTTTAGGAGTTTAGTAGCATATTAACTAAACTTCATATAAAATTTGATGCAGGTTTATTGATCACATTTGTTATCTATCATGCAGATCACAGAGTGGTTATATCTCAAGATTGCAAAACTATTCTCAAAAGTTGACCATGTGTTTACAGAATGATAACACCTGGCAGACAGACTCACTAAACTTGGGAGCAGGACCTTCATTTGCTTTTTTGCTGAACAGTACAGTTGTGAAGTGTAGTCTGAGAACTTCCTGATTACACTTTATACAGAATGATCACATAAAAGTTTATTTGTAAAAAGTACAGTCAGTTGTGCTTGTTACTGCTCAGTTACACTTTATGAGAAATGTTTGCATCTAACATTTATCTACTGCATACTTGAGAGATTACTTTTGAAACTTTGAATAAATAAATAAATCATTGACTTATCTGCACTGATACCAGCATTTACTGGTGTTGAAGATATTTGTTTATGCATTAATTGTTAAAAAAAATTGCTAACTGAAGAGGATTTTAAATCCAAAATGCATTTTAGCAAAATTTTCTTATGATAGATAGTGAAAAATAAAAACTGTAAAATTGCATATTTGGTTACTGGCTGGTATGGTAAGCCTTCTTTACAGATATTTATTTATTTTTATTAATTTAGAACTTGGAATAAAAGGGCTAGAAGCTTTACATAATTTAATATTTACTATTTAGAATGTATAGCATATAAATATAATCATTTTATTTATTTTTATAATTTAGAGAGGGTGTTATGGAATTTTTGCTAGTAAATCATCCATTGGATTGTCCAATTTGTGATCAGGGTGGCGAATGTGATTTACAGGTATGAAATAATTTAATAGAATAATGTATTTTATAATGTATAATAAATTAAATATTAGTAAATGTTTTAGGATCAGTCGATGGCATTTGGAAGTGATCGGAGTCGATTCGAAGATATTGCATTTTCGGGAAAAAGGTGTGTAATAACTTATTTCTTTAATATAATACTTTAATATATTTGCATTTTTTAACACATACATTGTAAAATAAATGAAGAATAAAGAATATATATCATTCTAATTTAATTCAAAATACAGTAGAGCGTTGATTATCCGAATCAATTGGGGACTGGGGTTGTTCGGATAACTGATATTTCGGATAACCAATTATGCACGAAAAATAGTTTAATGTATCCGATGTTGACATTTTTCTCCATTGCTTGTCACTTCGCATTGAATTTTCGTCGATGTTAAGCCTAATGAAGACTATTGTATCGTTAAAAATTATTTTTTTATTTTGTACAAACAAAATAAATATATTGAAAAATATAAAAAAAATGAAAAATTATACTTCAGAAGTTAATTTAGTATCGAAAACGTAAAATATTTGAGTAGCCCAAGATATAGCCAAAGATTGCAGCGCCACAGCACTAGCGAAAATTTAAATTTGCCGACTGGAATTCTTTCGGATAATTGACGTTTAGGATGATTGACTTTTGGATAATCGACACTCTACTGTATTCAGATTCTTCATTTAAGCATTTCTAGATATAAACAGTTGGATATATACAATGACATTAAATATATTTACAAGTTTGAACACCATTTATTGCTGCAGTTCTTTTACTTCATTAATGACACAAAAATTTAACTAAATTTGCCTTAGTGAAAATAATAAAGCCAGTTTTCTTTCTCAGGAAGGTGAACCTTATTAGTTGATGTTTCTAATGAATAAATTTGTGTATTTGTAAACTTTTAAACTTACTAATTTATTTATAAGAATCCAGGTTCCAATCTTCTTTTTATTTGAGGAATGAAGATTGGAATCTTTTTGCTTCTGTGATTTGTTTACTTAAGGTGCTAGGAACAGCATTATTAAAAAGTTTAAGAATAAGTCTAGTTTTGAGTACATGTTTTTATAAAAGCTTTATAGAATTTGCTATATTTTTGATTTATAGACGATGTAATGTGTAATGGTTAGATGGTGTAATGATTCTCAAAATATGATCTGTGGACCACTGGTGGTCCAAGAGCATGCATCAGGTGATCCACAAACTGGCGTAGTCATTTTTCTAAGATGCAAGCCTTTGCTTTTAGCCAGAGAAGACATTTCACACTTCCCATATTTCTTATGTTAGTTTACTGTATAAACAAAATATTTTGGCACAATCTATTGTTATCTAAGGTGGGATATTTATGGGATGAGAAGTGGACAGTGGCATAGGGAATCCACAGTAAGAACATATCGAGGCAATGGCATGCCACCAAAACTTAAAACAAATATGCCACTAACTCAAAAGCATTGAGAACAACTACAATATACATTTATATTGAGTTAAACAAAAAATTTATAAAATTAACTGCTAATTCAAGAAATTGAATGAGGTTTGTAGGCTTTACCTGAACTTATTAACTATAATTTTTATTTCAATTGATTGTTAAAAAATATTTTTCAGTTTTAATTTATCTGCATGAAGTAAGCCAAAAACTTATAATGTTTATGATGATTTATGTATTTGCAGAATATATTCATTCAATTTTAAGATATTTCTTTGGGCTAATTAGTTTTAATTTGTGAGATTTTGTTTATTCATATCCTCTGTGAATGCAGTCTGTTGGTAAATTACAGTTGCACTATATTCAATTGTATGACAACTAACACTTCCATTTTAATAACTTACAAATCTTTAGTTTATTAAGTGCTTTGAAGAGTATTTTTCTCTTGTTCTGAAAAATTAACCAAAAAAGCTGAAATTATCAATTAACCTTCAGAATTAAATGTAATGCTAGTACCTACTTACATTATTTTTATTTTTTAAACAATTTTTACAATATAAAATTACATCCTTTTTTTACACACACATTTCTGATTTCTTTATAATTTCTGATTTTGTATTAATTATAAAAATTATTAACTTTTTAATTTATAGAGCAGTTGAAGATAAAAATATTGGACCTTTGGTGAAGACAATTATGACTAGATGTATTCATTGTACACGATGTATACGATTTGCCAGTGAGGTTGCTGGCGTGGATGATTTGGGTACTACAGGTCGTGGTAATGATATGCAAGTAGGAACATATGTAGAGAAGATGCTGTTATCAGAATTATCAGGAAATGTCATCGATCTGTGTCCTGTGGGAGCATTAACTTCAAAGCCATATGCTTTTACCGCTCGTCCTTGGGAAACAAGGTATTGATTTATAAATTACAAATTGTTTTAAGAAGATCTTATCATGTGATAATGAATTATATTTATACAGAAAAACAGAAAGTATTGATGTCCTAGATGCAGTTGGTAGCAATATTGTAGTAAGCACTAGAACAGGAGAAGTATTGCGTATTCTTCCCCGTTTGAATGAAGTAAGCATTGAATGATAGTTATTTGAGATAAGTTTTATTAGATAATTCATTAAAAAAATTGTTGTTATTTCAATGTAGGAGATAAATGAAGAATGGATATCAGATAAGACTAGATTTGCATGTGATGGATTAAAACGACAACGTCTAACAACTCCGATGTGTAAAAAAAATAATTCTCTTGAACCCTGTACATGGGAAGATGCCCTTGTCATTGTATCAGAAAAAGTTAGAATGATTTTATTAATTTTTTAAAATTCTTTTATTCCACATATTTACAATTGATTTATATTTATAGCTTCGGTCAGTTTCTGGAAATTATATTTCAGCTGTAATTGGAGGATTAGTTGATGCTGAGGTAGGTATCTCAAATATCATACAATTATATAAAAAATATGTTTTCATATTATGTTATTAAAATTTTTAGGCCTTAATAGCACTTAAAGATTTATTGAATAAATTAGGAAGTGAAGGATTATGTACAGAAGAAGTATTTCCTACGAATGGTTCAGGGTATGTTTAATAATTTTTTCTCTCTCTCTCTCTCTCTCTCCTCAACCAATCGTTAATGGGCAACATGGATGTGTGCAGTCTTATAGCTTCTCTTTTCGCTTAGCTAGCTGTTTTATCTGTTGGTAAGGCCCTTTCTGTAATAACTCATCAAGATATTTTATTCTGGATTTTCTATATCCCCTTCTTTTGCCCTCTATTTTTCCTTCCAATAAAACATTCATCCATTCCGAGTGTCAAATTAGGTGGCTAATCATGTTATTTCTCCTTTCCTCTATTATTCTCAAAATCTCTCTCTTCTCTGTTGCCTCTTCCAAAACATCCTCATTCCTCTTTCTCTCTGTCCACAACATTTGCATCATTCTTTGCCAGCACCACATCTCAAAAGCCTCCTGTTTTCTTTTCTCTGTTGTTTGGAGTGTCCATGTTTCCAAAGTGTACAATGCTATGCTCCAGATAACTCTTAATGAATTGCTTCGTAACATTGATTGATATATTTTTCAATGTTATTTTTGTCATGTTATTGATGATATTATTCAATGTATTTTTCAATTTTTCGATGTTTAATAATTACATAAATAATAAAATGCTAAATCATTATATAATAGACTCACAAAAACCTTTGTGACCAGTAAAATATTTAATTGAAAAAACAACAAACGTTTTTGACCGTAATTTTTGGTTTTCTTCAGGTTAAAAGTTCCGAAATTCGAAAAGCCGTTGTACTTAAAGATTTAAAAGTTTTAGAACGTTTTGGAACATATCCAACTTTGCGTATGCATATCAAGCATTGCATAAACAAAAATATATTTAAAAAATATTATTTTACACCCACATGAAATGGTGGAAAACACCTTAAATAGAGTTGTGGGGGTCTTCCCCGTCATAAACAAAGTTCCAAGCTGTAGAAATATTAATCGCATCCTTATAGTTGATGCAGTTAGTGCATAACCCTACTTTATATATTTCCAGAGTTTCTAGCGTTTGTATGTGTTCCCTTCTGTGTGATAGTTTAATGATTTGCGCGTTATGCAAGTCGGCACTTATGCCCAGGGTCGAAGCATAAGTAGAAAGGGCAGTGGTGCATCTGTTATGATCAATGTCATATTTGTGTTCACAAATATGCTTATCTAGAGACTGTATCGTGGAGCCGATATATACACTTTGAAATCTATGGTCCCTTAAAGGGACAGAATATACCCCTGCCTGGAGCAAATCTTTTGTCTATATCTTCTTTGCAGTTGTGCAGAATGTCATAAATAGTACAGGTAGCCCTCGGTTTACGCCTCAGTTCCGTTCCTACAAAAGCCGGCGCAAATCGAATCAGCATAAAACGAACCCATATTTACAATGAGGTATAGGGTTAGGTTCTACATAAGTGAAAAATAAGCAAATAATTTTGTTTATTAATACAATATAATACAAAATACATCAAANTATTGAGCAACACGGGCCACCGCCTATGCCTCGCGGTCCGAAGGGCTTCGCTTTTCGAAGGTTTATGCATTACAGTAATACTCCGACTTACGCGAACCCAGAGTTACGCGATTTTTAACTGAGAAAATTGTAAGATTTCATAGTTTAACGTATATGCATTTTTGTTTGTAACAAATACGTGAATGTCAAAAAAAAAAAAACAAAGAGACAGCAATATTTAAAAATAGCACATACAAAATGAATTTATTAAAAAAATTTTAGTTTCGGATCTCTTACATTTTTCGGAAAAAAGTATCCATCTTTAATTGTTTACATTTTTGTTTTCTTTCATCGAGAATTTCAGAATATGGTCGAACGGATGCGATGATGCTTCTTTTTACATTTGCACTTTGCTCCCAATCATTGTGTAACTCACAAAGTTCATCCGTCAAACTTTCCATAGTTGAAAGGATACGTTAACCCGACGTAGAGCTATGGATGAGCGGAGACACTGATTGGGCGATCACCGGTCGCCGTAGCGCATGTATAAGGTCAGTTTGAGCGGGAAAATTGAAGGTGGCTAAGGAGAGATAGATATCGTCTGGCTAATAAAAAGTATTGTCTGGCCAACGAGAAGTAGATTTGTCTCACTAACGATAGTTTGTGATCGCCGGAAGTCCTATTGCGTTGTTAGGTGTTTTCCTAAACTAACTGATACGGGATACATTCATTGGCGCTATGGATTTGGATGCTATTTATTGGACTGTTAAATTTGATAACTTGACTCATGGGTACCTAAACGTTTAGTGTTTTAATATTAATTTAATGCAAATGTATACTTACCCAACAATATTAAACAGAAAAACTAAATATATTCAATAAAAATCTTTGTTTTAACGAATGTACAATGTCGCGGCTTGGTAAATATGTCAACACTGAAATGAAAATCAATCTGGCATAGGGAAAACCGGGGAATTACACTGCAAAATGGCAAATTGCATAGCGGCGTTATTGTGAATTGGCATAAATTGAGCCGGCGTAAACCGAGGGCTACCTGTACTATGCCTCTTATATGAAATTCTCTTGTTTGTACATGCAGCAATTTCTTTGTAAATCGGATCAAGGTGGTGGTTATATTTGTAAGGTCGCCGACATTAGTGGCAATATGTGAATTGCGTGTCAGGAAAACCTAGGGTCAAACCGTATGTGGGTGGGAGACAAAGATGACAAGTGTCTTACATGAAAACTGTTTATTTTGACATAAGGTTAACTTACATAATGACAATAACAATGCAATCTAGATCGGCTTTGGTGGGAGCTCCTTGATGTCGACGAACGGGCACTGACTGGTGTCCCAGGCTTGACAGGAGAGTGTCCGGTTATGTTGCGGATGTTGGTCACTGGTGGAGAACCTGGTCCGAGTGGAGAACTGCGGAGAATCGGCTGGGAATTCCTCTTCAAAGAGAAGCGGCTGAGAATCTCTCCCTTGTCCTTGAGATTCAGGGGTTTTATAAGATTTTCCCCGCATCTCACCCTTTTGATTGGTCCCGTTCATCCTCTCCCTTACCCCGATTGGTCACTCTTTTGTTTCTAGGCGAAACTTGAGACCCATGCAGGTCGGGAAAAGGTCGGAGAGGTGATGACGGGGCTTTTAATGTTTGCGCTCATAATTTTCTCCGTTATGGCCCTTCTCCCGGATATCTTTGAACTTAAAGACCCCTTCTCGATTGCTTCGACCTGACACTTGTTCACGAGCATCTCGACAAAGCTCTTTTTCTCTGTCGACATTTCCCCTGTTGTTTATCATTGCGTCGCGTTTGTTTTACAATTTGAAAAAGTGTTCGTCCCATCTGGATTCTGTCATTAACACACCCTCTTGATCCGATTCTATCTTCGAAACTCTCTGACGTTAAAGTATCGTAATTAGTTGTAATTTCAACGTGCTTTTACGACTCTCACATATTCAACCACAGCCAAAGACAGAATTATTGGAGTTGTTCGTGTGTGAGCTTGCGATGAATAGGCAAACGCAAGGTTCTGAATTAATTTTTGCCCATATCCGTGTTGTGTGGCTATGTTCTGGATGTGTTGTAATTCTGCCAATGTAGCCACACGACACAGATATGGACGCAGATTAATTCAGAACCTTGTGTTTGCCTATTCATCGCAAGTATATAATAATGATGATAGCTCAAGCACGAACAATTCCAGTAATTCTCAGTCTTTGGCTGTGGTTGAATACCTTGATCCGATTTACAGAGAAATTGCTGCATGTACAAACAAGAGAATTGCATATAAGAGGCATAGTACTATTTATGACATTCTGCGCAACTGCAAAGAAGACATAGACAAAAGATTTGCTCCAGGGTATATTCTGTCTCATTAAGGGACCATAGATTTTAAAGGAACCTTGTATATATTGGCTCCACGATACGGTCTCTAGATAAGCGTATACGTGAACACAAATATGACATTGATCATAACAGATGCACCACTGCCCTTTCTACTTATGCTTTGACCCTGGGCATAAGTGCTGACTTGAATAATGCGCAAATCATTAAACTATCACACAGAAGGGAACACATACAAACGCTAGAAACTCTGGAAATATTTAAAGCGGGGTTACGCAATAACTGCATCAACTATAAGGATGCGATTAATATTTTTACAGGTTGGAACTTTGTTCATAAAGGGAAGACACCCACAACTCTATTTAAGGTGTTTTCCACTGTTTCATGTGGGTGTAAAATAATAATTTTTAAATATATTTTTGTTTTGCAATGCTTGATATATATACACAAAGTTGGATATGTTCCAAAACATTCTAAAACTTTTAAATCTTTAAGCACAACGGCTTTTCGAATTTCGGAACTTTTAACCTGAAGAGGGCTGAAAACGTTTGTTGTTTTTTCAATTAAATATTTTACTGGTCACTTAAAGGTTTTTGTGAGTCTATTATATATATTGGATCAGTACGTGGTAATGAGCAACCTTTACACAATGCCAAATCATTACATAAATTTTGATTATTTTATTATTCAATTTTCTGTCTATACAGAAAATTGAAAAGATAGTTAATTGGATAGTTATTACAGTCAAACTCAATCATAATGAACACAGATATAATTAGTTCACAGTTAAAATGAGCAAAACACCATAACAATTCTAATTTACTCATATTTCCACACGTTTTTCTCATGGTTATAATGAGGGTACTTCACAGATATACCAAACAAATTTTTGGTATCTGTGCAAACACACAAACATTCTTAATTTTTCAAGTAATAAGAAATGCTATATTGAATTCTTGGAATAGATAAAACTGAAAGGATTATCTATTCCAAGTTATTTTTATGACAACTACAAAGGAAAGTTATTTTTATGACAACTACAATTAGTTTTACGACCTGTGTGGATTACAAGCCTATTTATCACTTAACTTTCTTTTTGGAGATAGTCCCTCTTTCTTGTCCTGCTTTCTGCACTACTCTGCCAATTTAACTAATCATCACTATAATTGTAAAATTACAGTATAGTTAGTTAGAAATTAACCCGTCTATGGAGAAAAGAAAATGTCTTTTGGTTTT